CCAGAGTGGCACATTTGTTGTAACTGAAGAACCTGCATTGACCCGTCTTGATCACCCAACCCCATAGTTTACATTAGGGTTCAATCTTGGTGTCCTACATTCTGTGGGTTTGGACAAATGCTTAATGTCATGTATCCATCATCATAGTATACAGAGTATTTTCACTGCCCTAAACATGCTCTTTTCTCTGACCATTCATCCCTCCTCTCTCCCCAACCTTTAGTAACCACGGATTTTTTTTTTCACTATCTCCATAGTTTTGCCTTTTCCAGAATGTCATATAGTTTGAATCATACAGTATGTAGCCTTACCAGATATCTTTCCCCACTAAGTAATATGCAGTTAAGGTTCGTCTATCCTCTACATGACTTGAAAGCTCATTTATTTTTAGCACTGAATAATATTTCATTGTCGGTATGTACTACAGTTTATCAGTTTACCTACTGAAGGACATCTTGGTTGCTTCCAGGTTTTGACAGTTATGAATAAAGCTTCTATAAACATCCATGTTCAGGTTTTTGTGTGGACATTAGTTTTCATCTCCTTTGACTTGATACTAAGGATCATGACTGCTGGATTGTATGGTAAGAATATGTTTAGTTTTGTGAGAAACCACCAAACTGTCTTCCAAAGTAGCTGTACCATTTTGCACTTCCAGAAATGAATGGGAATTCTGTTGCTTCACATCCTAACCATCATTTTGTGTTTTCAGCATTACAGATGTTTGGCCATTTTAATAGTTGTGTAGTGGTATCTTGTTCTAATTTGGACTTCCCTGATAGCATATTATTGAGAATCTTTTCATATGAATATTTGCTATCTGTACATAGTCTTTGGTGGCTAGAAAACTGTCAAGGTCTTTGACCCAGTTTTTAATCGGGTTGTTTTCTTACTGTTGAGTTTTAAGAGTTCTTTGTGTATTTTAGATAATAGTCCTTTATTAGCCGAGTCTGTTGCAGATGTTTCTCCCAGTCTGTGTCTTCTCCCCTAGATGTTGTCTTCTACAGAACAGAAGTTTTTAATTTTAATGAAGTTCAGTTTACCAGTTATCTCTTTATTATGGATAGTCCCTTTTGGTGTTGTATGGAGAAAGTCATTGCTATGCCAGAGGTCATCTGGCAGCTTTGTTATCTTTTAGGAGTGATCTTCTAGGAGTTTTGTAATTTGGGGTTTTGCATTTAGGGCTGTGATCCATTTTGAGTTAATTTTTGTGAAAGGTGTAAGGTCTGTGTCAGCATTCATTTTTTTTGCATGAGGATGTCCAGTTTCAGCACCATTTGTTGAAAAGAATATTACATTTTTGTTCCATTGCTCCCTTGTCAAAGATCAGTTAACTGTATTAATGTGGGCCTATTTCTGGGCTCTCTGCTCTGTTCCATTGACCAGTCTGTCCATTCTTTTGCTTATACCCACTGTCTTGATTACTGTAGTTTCATAGTAAGTATTGAAGTCAAGTAGTGCCAGTCCACCTTTGTTCTTGAATATTGTGTTGGCTATTTTCGGTCTTTTGCCTCTTTGTATAAACTTGAGAATCAGTTTGTCAGTATCTGCAAAATAACCTGCTGGGATTTTGATTGGGATTGCAGTAAATCTGTAGATCAGGTTAGAATGAACAGACATCTGGACAATACTGAAGTCTTCTTATCCATGAACATGGAATATCTCTCCATTCATTTAGTTCCTTGATTTCATTCATCAGTTAGTTTCCCTCATAGATCTTGTACATATTTGCTTAGGTTTATACCTAAGTATGTATTTCTTTTTTTTTTGAATACTAATATAAATGTAATAATGTTATTGTGTTTTTATATCAAATTCCACTTGTTCATTGCTGGTACATTGGAAAGTGATTGACTTTTCTATATTAATCTTGTATTCTGCAACTTTGCTATAATGATTTATTAGTTCCAGAAGTTTTTTGTCATATGTTCAATTTTTAAGTGGCCTGATTTGTTGTTTGGGAGTAAAAATTAGCATTTTAGTTTCTATGAAAATGCAAAATAAAATGGAAGCTGTATTACTGACTTTCAGAGGTATATTAGTAATTTAGTTAATGAGTAACTGGGAGGTAGGAGGCTCAATGACATTTTTCTATGGTGTAAATAAAGATCAGCCAAGAATAAGTTCCTGATGCAAGATAAAGAACACTACTTTGTGTTTCTGGCTGATGTCAACAGTAATAATATTTTACTTTTCACTATATGTCTGTCTTTTAAAAATATTTTATTTACATATCTCTTTTAATTCTTACACCAAATCTGTAAGTTAAATAGAGTAGGTAAATTTTCAACCAGTCTGACAGATGAAGAAACTGAGGTATAAAATAATTAATTGACTTGCCTAAGGTTACTGAGCGGAACAAAAGCAACACCAGAACTGTGGCTTGAGAGCTTTTAACTCTCCTTTGGGAAATTTAAATAGTAAGCTTGTGTTATTTCAAAGGTCAATATGCAGGATTTATAGGCCCTGTTTGAGTTCATTTACAAGGACTTATCAGTTTCCTTCCGCGGTATTGCGAATAATACCACTTACAGATCGTATTAAATGTAGCGTGAATGTCAATCAAATTCTCCAGTTATCTATCCTACAAGATTGACACTGGTATGGACAATCCAAAAAGTACAATTGAAGTATCATCATTTAGTTCATAATGCTTTTAAAAAAAATTTCTCCCAGTTGTTTTATCTTCCTCTGTTGCTTTGCTCAGGCTGCTGTTAAAATGAGCTCACATACATTGATTAAAGGCTAACTAGACTTTGGGGACACAACCTTAGACTATCTGGAAGATGAAAGAAAACAACTTAGGGTTAACTAGCATTCCTAAAATTAACAGGCTTCATTCAGTTATACTTTGTGTGTAATGTCTACCTATGTATCAGATGACCCTAAGATCTGTTAAAATTTGAGAAATTGAAGCCCATTTGAAAACTCAATTACTGTTTTATTTCAGAAGAGCAAACAGAGCCATAAATGAAATTTAAGACATATCAGAGAGTTCATTTCTCTACCTCCTTCGGTCATGTTAGTTGATTCTTTTGACAGCACATCAGGTTGAAACCTTGCATTATATTCTGAGGCCTTACAAACAGATGGACTTCCTTGAAGATAAATTGAGAGCTGGGATAGTTTTTGTTAAATATTAACAGTACGATTGGAGAACTGTCAAACTCTGCAGGAAGCTGGCAGTTTTTTCCCTGGGCTTTTAAGATATGGAAGGGGAGACGGGGACCCTGTGGAATAATTATCAAAGTTTAATGTTAATGCTTTATTTTCTTAGGGAAATTATAATTATTTGCTGCGCACACAAAGGAATTTTCCTCCATTTTGTTTTATATATAGATCCTTTTGAACCACAGCGGCGTCTGCCTGTGAAGAAAAGTCGACAACAACTTCAGCGAGAAAAAGCCCTTCAAGAGCAAAGTCAAAAACTTGGACTTCAAGATGGGTCAACCTCATTACCTCCAGGGCAGCTGCTTTCTGCACCAAAACAAAGATTTAACACTCAAAAACCACATTCTTTGCCCCCTGCTCCCCTTACACTCTCCTCTCCTGTTGGTGATGGAAAACCACAGGGTACTGAAAGTCAACCAAGGGAACTGGGACTTGAGAATTCCCATGATGGTCACAAAAATGCTGAGGTTCTGCCTCCAAAATCAGATTGCAAGTTGGAAAAAAAGAAAGTGGAATTGTTAGTAAGTCTATATATCCATGAGACTTTTTTCCATTTACCTTTTTCCCCCCATTGGGCTTTGAAGAAATACAGTTTCAACATTTTGTCTGTTTTGTATTTTAACTTAGAAATGTAGTGAATAAACTATTGAAAAACGGCTACCATCTAAATATAAGTTGTCAGTGTTAGCACTTTTATGTTTTATGTTATTTAGTCTTCATAAGTTGTACAATGCATGTTCATTATTTTTACTTCACAGGTGAGATATTTTGGACCCAGAAAAGATGCTGCATTCCCCAAAGTGAATACACAGCTAATAATTAGCAGAGTTGTGTCCACATACAAGTCTCTCTGGATCCAAAGTGTATGCCCTTTACACTCACCAGAACCAGTTCTTATATGTGTAGTGCTTCTCCCCAAGTTGAACCCAGTCTTCAGCTTCCAGAGATTGCATCTTCATTGGCCCAGAAAAGGATACTTGTAAAGAAACATGAAGGGGTGGTCAAAGGAAAAGTATAGGAGATTGAGGGGACTAATTAAATAATTCAGCTGCATCATTAGATTCCTTTTTATTCTTTATGTAATGTATTTGTATTAGAAACTATCTCCAGAATTTAATTTAGCCACATTCTTGTGGAAATTGGTATTTTATAACCCGTGAATTCTTATAATCAGAATTTTTTTTTATTATATAGCTTATGTTTGAATAACTACTCTTTATTCGTTTCCTCCTGATTTATCACTCGTGGGAAAGAAAGAATGGTATTTGTTTCTGTTTTCCATTTTCTGAGTCTTTCTATTTCAAAATGTCCTACATTTTCTAATCTCAGATATTTTTCCAATCTCTGCTGATCCAGATTCTGTACTGAGTTTAAAGTGTTTCCAGCCCACCAGGGATTTACAGCCAAGAAATCATTTTGACAAGAGATATAAAGGCACATGACTTATGAGACCAAAATTAGACAAGTGCATACATTTAGTGTCTTTTAAGTGTAGTTTACCAGCAAAGTCCCAAGACAATTGAGAGTGGGTGTACAGGTGGAAGGGTTAAATTGAGCTGGAAAATTTAGATTGAATGTCATTAGGAAAATTATAATTTTTTTGGTACTTGGGAAAATTTTCAAA